CTTTAACGTCACTGCTCTAAATGCAAATGTGGGGTCAAAATGTAAAGCTGTGATGCTAGCACTTACATGTACCTTGAGACCACCTTGTACGGATCATACCTACAGTACAGTACCCGCCCACACACACTGCCTATAAAAGCTTTTACATAAAATACTAAAGCCCTTATAATGCCCATTGAGAGGTATGAATGCTCCAGTGTTTCTATTACAGTCCATGTGTTCTTTCTTCAGGTGTAGGCAGATTAAAAGAAAGTGCAGTTGAAAGAAAAAAGACCTGCTACTACTGTCTAACCAGTCAAGATTTTTCTGTACTAAACAAAGGCGCTCCGGTCTTGTCTTCCACAGTTCAAATGGGAGTGATTGACAGAACAATTAACCAATCAGAGAAACACACTGTCCATCAGTCTTAGAAATAAAGAGGAAAAGACACAGATTGAGAGATCTATTACAAAATATAGAATCTGAATCTCAGGCATGACTGATGTTACGCTATTAAAGCTGATCCACCAACCACAAAAAGCATTTTCTCAAACCAGTATTGAGGCTGTACCTGATTTTTACTGTCTAAAAACAGAGCTACTTCATTTTAAACAGTTTTCAATTACCTAATGTTATTTCTCATTTTTCTTATGCATTCTTAGCATCATAATTATTCACCATTAGGTTATAAGCATTTGTCACAACTTTTAGAAACTAGAGCTGAGTTTTGCCATCACAGTAATGTTAACAGCAACTAGCATGCAAAGTACACACTTCCTTGATTCTATGACCATATAACACTTTATAATTAGCTTATTTTTTAACCGCTGCTTGTACTAGTCTTGCCACAATACAAAAATTTCAAACCCAATTTTGATACAAAGAAATAGACTGACTAGACTTAATACTGAGTTTGATAATACAGTGTTAATAAAAACACTCTTTCTCTAGACAATAGAATATATTTTTTAACATTAAATCATAATGCTGCCTTTTATATTACTTAATTATTAATTATTTGGTCTTATTTTGGTCTTATTTTTGTGTAATCACTCAGTGGTCCAGTAGGTTCCACAGTGGTCCATGGACACGTACTAGTGGATGTGCTCTTATACTTCTTCTGATACAGCTCAAGATTGTTCTAAATCTGTTTAGGAAAGGTTCATTTCTGTCCTGTGAATGTAACTTTTTTAATATTGATAATTCCTGAAATGAGTTTCTAGTTTTGATACTAGTTTTAATATTAATTAGTATCAGCTTTTTGATACTTTCGACAATCTTAGCTTAAACATTATCAATTTTGCTCAGATACATAAAATACAATACAAAAAAGCATCCCTTTAAAAAGTGTGTGACAAATCAAAGTGTAATATGTTTACATTCACATAATATCATAATCAATAGTCTTTCTATTTTAGCTTAACAAAAGAGTGAAACATGAAATATGAATGATATGGCTTTACTTTTGAAATACACTGCATTGTTTCTTGTCTGTTGGGCTGACAAGTGTTATTGTACATTTCACAACCTGAAAATTCTCTTTCATTGTTTTTGGCACCGCATGAATCCATTCTAAGCCGAGGCAATTTTGATCTCATATTGAGCCTTTATCCAAGAATCTTGTCACTCATTGTGTCTACAAATAGCCCTGGAATGACTTATGTCAATGTAATAAAAACATAAAACCCAGTGATTTCATTTTAGTTTGTGATTTTATTTTCTACGATCCACATTTCTAAGCAGCCAATTAATACTAAAGCACATTTTTACTAAACAGTGTTTAACAAAAAGCATTTGGGATTGTTTCTCTATATCATCAATACACAACAATCAACAATACACAAACGTACAGTTTTTGAATCATTATGGGACAATAGTTGAATCATTCAAATAAAGTCAAATAAAAAAAACAAAAAAATATTGATGTAAAAATGCATTTGTAGCTTAGTGTATGGTTATGGCTCGCCTGTTTAGTTGCTGAGAAACCACACAAATGGCACCATTAGAGAACTGGTAACACTTTATCATATTTGTACTTACAATAATACTTGATGAATACCCTTAACCCCTTTATAGTCTTATGACCACATCTTTCTTATTTAACTATTTGTTTATTACGAATAAAGTTTTAAGAAAGCTAATTAAGGTTTAGTTAGTAATAAAGTGGTAAAGAGAAATGTGTCTATTACAAGAATGTGTTCTATTGCATCCAGAGTTTCAGTCATGACATTGTAAAGGTGCAGTTTTTGAACAAAGAAATGGGTTTCGTTCACATTAATTTGCTATAGAAGCCATTTTGAGGACTTTTAGTGAGGATTTAGTTTTGAGTTGACTACTAGTGTATCACTTTTGAAGCGCATGGATAAACAGGATTTTCAGCATGTATAAATACTTTGGCCTACTTGAAGTACATATATGGGACCAAAGCACACAAAATATCCCTGTTTCATCTTTTTGAGGTCATTTTGTGTACGTATATCGTGTATAGTTTGCTGATAGAAACAGCCTGTCTAACTCTTCTCTGTGTTCCCCTGATGGAGAGTGTCATTTTTTAGACTTGCTGTAGTTTTGCTGGCGGCTCTGAGCTTGTCCTGTCAGCTCAGATCCTTCTCTCCAAACAGTCCAGCCCCAAACCGCATGTCACATCACGCACTACCCATGTCCGCTTCAGGACTCATTAACTATTTACGAGTCAGAGCTATGGAAAGTCCAAACAAACTGAGTACAGCCGAACACAAACATTTTATTCTTGAAATATAGTGAAAATGATTGACAAATAAAAACTGTTCCATTGCATGTATGTTTAAAGGATTATTGTTGAAAGTAATTATTCTAAACTGTAATCACAATTAGAAAATAGATAAGAGATACAGATATTGATTTTTTTCTTCTTTCTTCTTCTTTTACTGTAGATTCGTGCCCGGCGACTGAGAGATTACAAACATAGACTGTAATAACTACATGTGTCATTCACAGAAAGTAATCATTTGCAGTACTATAACATACTGTGAATCATAACACTCAAGTCACTGCAGTTTATTCTGTCCGCATGTGGTACTTCACATAGCCATTATGTCAAAACCACTTACTGAACATAGTTATGTAGCTTATAGTTTCTGGTTTCTAGTTACTGGAATTGCGCAGTTGTTGTATTTTATTATTTTTGCGCCTTTTTACATCTTAATAAGGCAACATTGTGCAACGTTTTAACCAAAAATAGACTAAAATAAAAGCATATATTCTTTGTTTGTTTTTCATTTTGATTGTGTTATTGCACTGAAAAACATGCATTCTTACCCTCCACAAACCTTACTCCTGCTGTTTCCATAGAAATGTTCCTTCAGCTTATATTTTCCATATAGCATAAAACTTATCTTCATGGAGAATGTTCCACAGTATGGTTTTAACTGTTTATTTCTATACAATCATGCCTTTAGAAAGTTACTGTACAGTCACAGTATTCACGTAAAATTACTTAATAAAAGAAACCAGTAACTGTCAAATGGGAGCTGATATCAGTGTAACAAAAGCAACAAAGAGCCATGAAGCTGTCAGCACCACAGCAGACTTTTTTCATATATGGTTAGATTCAAGTCTATTTCAGTAGTTATTTATCTGTGTTTGATTACATGGTCTCACCCAGGGCACAAATCGATGTAGGATCACCACTGACTGTACGGCATTATACTGTTAAATTGCCTATCACCATGGAGACTAGGAGATGACGCTACCAGGCCAAGCAACAGGTCAGATCTATGGAGAGGCAAACCCGCTCACAGCAACAATGTATTTTTTTTAAGGTATTACTGAGTGACAATACAGCTGTGATTAAAGAAATGCAAGTTACATAGTGCAGCTTTAAATTTAAAAGCTAATATTTTACTGGACACATGCAAATTACCTGAGAATGAACTCCAGATCAGTTTTTCAAAAGATGTAGTCAGGTTATGCATTTGCACATACATTCTGACTGATTCGTTTTAAAGATCACCATCATATCATATTACTGTATATGCTTAAGCTCTTAATGTTGTGATTTCATAATGTTGTATTTGAAAACAGCTCAATTAGAACCTCCACAGTCAGTCTACACTCTGAAACTTTCTCACTCCTGACTCGTAACATCGCCCTCGCTGCTGCTTTGTTAATTTACATGAGGATTGTTATGTTTGGATGAAGATTTCCATGGGTGAATATTCTCTGATGGAGTGGCTTGTAGATTGCCGACAAAGCGTGATAAAAGCCATACTCCGCAGTGCAAGTTGAAGTGTAGTGTCTTGATAGCATGCTAATGGGCTACTTGTTGTCTTGGCAACTGGTTGGGCCTGGACGTCCACACGAGCTGCTCTGTATTCTACCGTGGACAAAGCACGTCTCACATCCATAAATGAGGCTGTCAGTGGTCACGTTTTGTCATTTTCCAACTGCGAAGAATACGCTTATGACTTCAATAATGACTTAAAATTAGAATGTTATTTCTATTAGAGAAACTTGATGCACTCTGTCAGTTTTCTGCTTGTTCCCATGGAGATGTTATTGCTTTGCCTGGAATGTTCCACAGTGTGGCATTGAACTGATCTCAACTCATTTTTACTGTGAGTGTGATGCCTCTCCACAGATCTGACCTGTAACTAGGCTTGGTGGTGTCAGCTGTGGAATATTCTAAAGTAAAATGTCTGACCTTCTAACACAGTGAATTCTTAAATATATTTTGATCATTTCAAAACTGGACCCCCTCGAGTCTGAAATAAAGCTTGATTGAAAACAATCTCTCTGTGGATTAAGTGCAGTTTTTTTGTGATTATTTGTCTCAAAATAAAAAGACTATGAACAGAGTTACAACAAAAATTTAAATAAAATCAGTGTGAAAAATCTACTATTCCAGTCGATTCTGTTTATTCCATTTTAGATACAGAAGATCTTGTGTTGTTACTGATGCTTTGTTGTCTGAAAGATGTTGCATATTGACCTTTGACCTTTGACCTGATATAAATAGCATGTGTTTATGTTTTCTTGTGCAGTTGGCGACGTGGGACTCGACTCGCGGTCTGAACGGAAGCCTGAAGGAGAACCGTATTGAGAGCGGGATGCAGGGGGTGACGCTCAAGATTGTAACGTTACTGGTGAGAAGCACACACCATGCACATATGAGAGCTCAGATATAAACTATTTTATGCAAATACTGTACGCCTAGAGAAGAGTTGTAGTGTAGTATTACAGAAAGGGATGAAAATAACCCTGTCTATTTCTAGTCCAAAATATATACTATTTCTTTAGCCATTTTTCTATCTTGTCCTAAATTTTATGAAATAATTGCTTCCATTAAAGATGCACTGTGTAACTTGGTGGAAAGTCTGCCACTACTTGCCTCTGTGCAGATGTTATAACTTGAATATTCCACTGCATGGGATTAAACTTGTCTATCACCTCTGAGACTAGCAGATGACTCTACCAGGCCAAGCAACAGGTCAGATCTGTGGCTCATAGCAACAATGTGTTTTTTTAAGGTATTACTGGTAATACAGCTGTGACTAAATAAATACATCAAACAAACAGATGGTACCACCACCAGAAAATTTAGGTAGCTTAGCTTTAAATTAAAAAGCAAATATTTTACTGGACACTTTTGTAAATTACCTGAAAAAGACTGTATCAGTGTTTCAAAAGGTGTAGTTTTGTGTCTCCTACATAGTTATAATCTATGACTCCCTTGGATCATTATGTTATAATTTGAACATTTTAAATTGCAATATTAATAAAGAAAACAAGTCAACTGATTTCTGTATTGGAAAACTTTCATGCCCAATGTGAACTGATGTTGTCTTAAGGGTCATTACAACAAAGTGTCTGTCCTCCTATGGATAGTTGCTGATCATTATAGTGAACAGCAGAGTTTTTTTTTTTATTATTATTTGTTCCAAAATGACTACACAGTGCTGCTGAATCCTACAACAATCACTGATTAAGAAACTAAAATTGGAGAACAAAGTAAGCACAGAGCAGTGGGTGTATGCCGGCGGCGCTGATCAGCAATATGGCATCTTGAAAATAAGTGATTAAAGATCACTTAAACATGCACAAATCACTCCAAAGAGAAACTAAAATAATGACTGTATATGTATATGTTTAAAGTAGTAAAAAGCTCTAAAAAGTCGGTTTTGCATAATAGGTCTGCTTTAACAATATAATTATAGCCTTTTAGGTGAGATTTAAAACTGTAAGAACGTTACTGTTTTCTATTGCGGCCATTGAACGGTAATGAACCAAAAACACAGTCTTTTTGAATGGATGTTTTATGTAGCCTGCCCGAAGGCCTTCCTTTATATTTACAGGCCATTCATTAGACTAATTAAACCCAATATTGAAACAGAAGCTCTATAATCACAGCTTTTCCCCAGAGAATGTATTCACTGGCACATCAAACACTATATACAAACATGCTTTCCATATGAAGACATCTCGCTTTATAGAAGAATGTACCACCTTAACTTGATCTCAGTTCAGTTGCGGTTCACTGAATACAGATTTTCTCTTAAGGCCTGGCCATCAGAAGCCCATTACAGTCACTCCCGCTCGCCACAACAGAGCAGCTCTCCCTCAGCCGGCTTCATCAATTCAGCGCACTACCTCTCGGACTTGCCCACTTTATCTGTTTTCCCCCTTCTTCACACATGATTTACTCTGCGCCATATTTATTCTCAACTTTCCCAAAGTGTCACTTAATCAAGTCATTACCTCGGCCTACTTCTACCATTACTATTTTTCCCCAGCTCCAACCCATCCAATTCTGCCCCGACCCCCACCCGCCCATAAAGAAGAATCATGAGCGACTAGGAGAAATTTACAATGGCAATCCGAGTGATGATGGACCTTCGCGGTTGTGGCAGCACTGTGTGTTACAGGTCAACAGTTTGCAGACGAAAGCCTTTTATTAAGATGGAGTTTAAGTTGAATCATCTCGGAATCTCTTCATAAAATTGTCACGCAGACGTTTTTAAGATGAATGAATACGTCGCCGTCCAGGTTGCCAGTCTGAACCTTGTGGAGATTATGTTGCATCTTGATAAATGGTCCAGCTTTGAATAAAGGCTCTGTTCTTGAATTTTACTATCTTAAAAACATGAAAAACTAAACTATTTCATTTCACAGTTTGCACTGGTTCAAAGTTATCTTTACTTGCTTTATGCATTCGGAGCATCCTAATTATTCACCACAAGGGGTTTGTGGAGTTTTACAGCTCTCAAAGATCAGTGCAGAGTAGAGGTCTGTGCAGGACAGAATTTTCAGTCCCGCTCCCGCCCGCTCTATCAAGCTCTATCAAACACAGAGAAGATGAGCAATGAGTTTCCAAAATGTGCTTCACGCCGCGCTGTTTTGCCCTGCACTCCCGCAGGCCTGACGCCTGACTGGAGTGTAAAGCTAACAACTAGCATGCTAACACATGCTTCCTGATGTTCAGCCAATAAAAATAAATATATGCAGACTTATTTTGACCTCAAGAGCTGCTTATACAGTATATCTGTACTGGGACAAGACATGAAAGTGGTGTGTGATTCAGTGATTGATGGTGTTTGCAGGGGTCAATGGCGCAGATTGGCAACCTCTCTTCCATCAGTCGGCTTCAGGGCAGCTGTGGATGCAGAAGTAGCTTACCACCACCAAGTGTACTGTGAATGAATAATGACAAGCCTCTTAAAGCCCATTATTATTCTAGTCCTTTTTTGCCAGAAGTGTTATAACCATGCCTGCCATTGTTGATTGTGCCTCATGGACAGAATTCCCATAATCATAATGCTGATTATTATCATTACAATGTTAACATATTGTGTCCTTTGCACTGTGTTCTTTGGCGTGAACAGGAGGAGCCTTTCGTGATGGTGGCAGAGAACATTCTAGGCCAGCCCAAGAGGTACAAGGGCTTCTCCATTGATGTTCTGGATGCTCTGGCCAAGATCCTGGGATTTAAGTATGACATTTACCAAGTGGCAGACGGAAAGTACGGAACGGCACTGCCAAACGGATCCTGGAACGGCATGATCGGGGAACTTATTGGCAAGGTGGGTGCTTTGTTTTGAGTCTTGTTTTTTTGGTTTGTAAATCATTGCTCAAATCGCAATCCAAATTATTTTCTGGGAGGAAAGCCATATTGTCCTGTAGAGAAATGAAAGCTTTGGTTTGGTAGAGTAAGATAACAGTATAAATATAACCAATTCAGTTGTTTTTCTAAAAATATTGGTGATAATGACACAGTACTGATAAGTACTGATAAGAAGTAGGTGTTTTATATTATTTTTAGTTGGATAACATTTTCCTATATAAACTGCAACAATGCAGTGTTATGCAACAATGCAATGTTTTAAAATGGACACAGGAGGGAAGCCTTCACACTAACAACACATAGGTTATATTCCCAGATTGACCAATAAAAAATATACAGTAAAAAATTGCCATGCTGAGTCATTCTTGGAGTGAACAGCTGTTTGTCTCATATAGTGCTTTTCTACCTTCAAGGCACTCAAAGCAATTTACATCAAGGAATGATTCACCCATACACACATACATTCAGACATCGGTGTACACAGACACTGGAGGCAAGAAGGGTTAAGTGCCTTGCTCAAAAACACACTGACAGTATTCATCTGTGAGAGCTAGAATCACATCTGTGGGCTAGTAGATCTGACTGCTCCACCACTGATGTTTATGTCAAGATTGGGATTCAAACTGATGATCAGAAGACTGAGCTACTGTTGCCCCCAAACTACTGTAGTGTCTACTGTGTACCCCACCCAACGCCTAAAGTTTACAGTCTGGATAGAGTTTGACAGCAACATCCAAAAAGCATTTCTGTATGTTCATTATGTTCAATTCATGTTTTCAATTCATATTTTTCTATTAAAGGTGCTGTGTAACTTTTCTGATGTAGGGTCTGCTACCTGCTTGTCTCCATAGAAATGATTGTTTAGCCGTGGATGTTCCACCGTATGGCATTAAACATCTATTCCAGATGTTTTTATTGCTAAAAATACCTTGAAAATGTGCGAGCAGGCCTACTTCTCCACAGATTTTACTTGTAACTTGCTTGATCATGCCACTTGTCCATCTCCATGGAACTGGTTTTAGTTTAATGTCACACTGTGGAACATTCCAGAGACAATAGGTGGCGGGCCCTCAGCCAGAAAAGGTATGCAATGCACCTTTAAGAAATATATTATGTGAATAGTTTCAGTGGCTGGACATTGTTTTGTGTATACCCTTCCCCAATCCCAAAGTTGCAGTCTACATAGTCTATCCATGTTAAGACAACCCAGGTAGCTAGCTGTTTGTCTCTCCGTTTGCATTTCGTAGCACATAGCAAACCCTTAAACCAATCTTTGCATGGACAGTGATGTGACTATCCCACCTACATGTTTCTCTCACAGAGGGCTGACCTGGCCTTATCCGCCATCACCATCACCCCAGAGCGTGAGAGCGTGGTGGACTTCAGCAAGCGTTACCTGGACTACTCTGTGGGCATTCTGATGCGAAAGTCTGAGGAGAAAATCAACATCTTTTCTTTGCTGGCCCCCTTTGACCTGGCCGTGTGGGCGTGCATCGCGGCTGCTATCCCCGTGGTGGGCATCATGATCTTCCTACTGCGGAGGATCCAGGCCGTGCGCTGTCAGAGCAACACTGGAGGCCACCCCGCACCCTCTGTGTCCACGTCTCTGCAGAGCGCCATCTGGATCGTCTATGGAGCCTTCGTACAGCAAGGTGAGCCACATAGAGAACGTGCAACTATGTGGAAAGGTGTTGATTGAATTCTGTTTACATTATACAGTTAAACTCTGACTTTCTATTCACGTTGTTTGTCAGAAACTAGCTGCCAGGGAAAGGATTGGTTTATAGGGCCGTTTACATTGTAAGAAATCATATGTTATCTTCTATTTTTGAATTCAACAACACTTCCACAAGAAGAAGTGCCCATCAGTTTTGACAATGACAATGACAAGAAACATGTATGGAACAGTGTGTAGACAGCTTGAGTCACCCCGAGGGATGGTGCCCACCCAGAAGATGTCCTTGTGGAGGGGAACATTCTATTTTTAAATCTGATGTCGGACCATGGGAGTCCAGTTTGTACAAATGATGCGTCTTGAGATGATTTTAGATTCTGAACGGCATCTATCAAAGTCTGGCCCACAGCCAACAAACCTTTTTTAACCCCCTCCCACTGCATTCCAGGCAACGCTAAACGTTCTGCCTATTTGTCTTCAGTTTTTGGCCGGGCTCACAACATGGCCACTTTTGCTTCAGTCAAGTGGATTGCATCTGTTTTTCTTCAGATATGGATCTGACCAGTGGTGCATAGCACACTATTGTCAGAGAGCAATCAACTTGGCAACCAAATCCCCCCATTGATTTCATAATGATATGCCAACACTTGGCTGGGTTTTATTGTTCAAGGCAGATTAAACTATCTACCCAAAGGCATACTAACTTTCTTATCACTGCTCATTTGAATAGCTTTATCCTTTTTTCCTTGAGGAGTTTGGGAAGATAGGAAATCATCTATGAAAGTCCACGATGTAAATATAAAAGGAGACTTTAATCAATTTGTTCAGAAGATGAAAAAGACTGTCTCCCATATATTTCATTAAAGCAGCACGCAGAGCCTAGTCAAATTTAAGTAAAATTCACATTGAATGACCTCAGCCAATCAGTCAAAGCCGTGTGTGATCTGAGAGAGTGCTGGCAGATGGCTGTGTATCTGTCAGGGGCCCTCAGTGTTTTTACCCACTCTGTCCCGGGGCCCAGCTGTGCTGATTGTGACACTTTGAGACAAATATGTTTTCATTACATTTCACAATCCACAGTCTATCCCATGACATTTCTGCAGCTTTACTCTTCAGAATTACAATTTTATCTGACATTTGGGCACCCACGTCATGAGCTGTTTTTGGAAGTGACAAGATAAAGATAAAGCATATACTTATGTATCAGATACTACATAATGTCTATGGATTACATTAACATAGCTTTAGGATTAGGAAATACCACATGTTTTGCAGTACATAGTTAAACCCTTTCCCATTACTTTATAAGACACTGTTATCCATTTTGCAAGTACAACAAGTAATTAAATCAACAGTTACACTTGGCGTCTGTCTTTGTTAAGGAGTCAGCCAATCTCCTTAAACATGCTGGAAGTAAACCAGGCAGCTAGCAGGTTCAAAAGCACTATTCTCTTGGCTCTCCCACACAAGGAAGTCTTTAAATAAAACATTTACCATTTGGACAACCACGCTAATCAACATAAACATGGCAGCACACCTACATGTTGGCAACTTTTGAATTTTAGATAAAGAAATAAGCTACAGGATATGATTTAGTGAAGTGCTTTGTAATATTGTAAAAGTAATTATGTTTTATTGTAACATAGAAACCCATTTGGATGTGGAACAAACTTTTTTTTTTTTTTTTGTGTCTTTTTCAACAGGAAGCGATGCAATCCTTGGATCAGTGGCATTGCGGATTGTCATGGGAAGCTGGTGGCTCTTCACTCTTATTGTGTGTTCTTCATACACTGCAAATCTCGCAGCTTATCTCACTGTGTCGCGAATGGATAACGCAGTCAGGTAAGATGTCATCCTCTAACAGCTTTTTTGCAATGACTTGTATGTTATATTTTCATTCCATTAGCACTATACCAAAAAGTCAGTGTAAGATTTCTGTAGATATAGGGGGCTTTGGAGATGATACAGAACAAAAAAATATATATTATACTTAGTGCTGTCATGCGATAAAAAAAATTTATAGATTAATTAATTATGATCTGTAATTAATTAATCTAATTAATCTAATTTTAATCTCATCTAAAAATTGCTGAGAAAAACTTCAATTTGAGGTATTTTCATTTAAATTCATTATTACATTATTGTGGCAGATCAAAACACTGATATAGAACAAATAAAGTGACTTTATAAAGTCATTTATTGTTTAACAAATCTCTCCAAATTGGCTGTTGAGCCCAAGTCTCCATGAATAAGAAACTGTTTGCTGTAAAGTAGCAAAGACGAGGAAATCTGAACATAATAACTTTTGTCTACTTAAAGACAATAAAAAGTCCAGTCTTTCCTTAACCATATTAAAAATATTATTGATAGAGAAATGCTTTATATATGAGATCACTGGTTTTAGTCCTTGTTTTAGTCTTGGTTTAGACCTGCTTTAGTCCTACTTTAGTCTTAGTTTAGTCCTGGAATGGATTAATCCTGGTTTTAGTCCTGGTGTTAGTTCTGGTTTAGTCCTGGTTTAGTCCTGGTTTAGACCTGGTTTTAGTTCTGGTTTTAGTTCTGGTTTAGTCTGGTTTAGTTCCTGGTTTAGACCTGGTTTAGTCCTGGTTTAGTCCTGGTTTTAGTTCTGGTTTTAGTTCTGGTTTAGTTCTGGTTTAGTCCTGGTTTAGACCTGGTTTTAGTTCTGGTTTTAGTTCTGGTTTAGTCCTGGTTTAGTCCTGGTTTAGACCTGGTTTAGTCCTGGTTTAGACCTGGTTTTAGTTCTGCTTTTAGTTCTGGTTTAGACCTGGTTTAGTTCTGGTTTAGTCCTGGTTTAGTCCTGGTTTACACCTGGTTTTAGTTCTGGTTTTAGTTCTGGTTTTAGTTCTGGTTTAGTTCTGGTTTAGTCCTGGTTTAGTCCTGGACTGGATTAGTCCTGGTTTTAGTCTTGGTGTTAGTTCTGGTCCGCAGCGTATCGAGAAAACACGATCCACACGCGGCTCACGGGAGCACGTCGGTGTCCACGCAGTGTCTACGGAAGGAAACGTGGTCCGCGCGTTCTCAGGTTGATGACGATGATGAAGGTGTGTGTTTGTGTTTGTGTGTGTTTGTGTGTTTGTGTGCGTGTCCCCTCATGTGGCAGGTCACTATAGGACAGTAGTGCAGACATCATGAGCCTATGCAGGTTGTTTTCAGGCGATATTATATTTGTTATTTTCTTTTATATTTCACGTCGGGAGAATAATTTCCAAGACACGAATGCGTTTTTACCTGTGCACTGCTGACTCTGTTCTACTGGCTCTTCGACCTCGTCCATTGTGCCTGACGCCGCCTACGTTACCATAATGTTTACATCACTCTTACTGCGCGCGTTTTGTGTGGGTTTCCGGCAATGAGTGGAATTACCGAAATAAAAAAAATTATAAATGTGTTTTTGTGTGTGTGTGTTGTTGTCCCAGCAACGCATAAAAACAGATTTTATAATAAAGCAAGTCGCATACAGAAACAGTAAAGTTAGAGATTAAAAATGAGATTAACGCGATTAAAAAACATAACGCGCTAAATATGACTGTAATTAATTAATCGCAATTAACGCGATAATTTGACACCCCTAATTATACTGTCTTGCACGTAGAGTTGCTTCTTTGATTTTGTAAATGTTTTGTTTAATTTGAGTTAGTGGTGAAGAAGTACCTAATTTATCAATAAGTTGATTTGAGTCAGACATTTTACACAGATTTTGAATGTTGTGATACTGACAAAAAATGTAGTTGATTTCTTTCAACATAACCTGTTCCTTTATGGTATTTCTTTTCATTTATGTATTTATTTATTTTGCTCAAAGCCAGGACTTCACTGAGGCCACCATGAACTTTTAAAATACTAACTCTTGGTCATTTAAGTAGGAATCAAACCAGAAGAATAAAACTTTTTACTATTCAGTTTAGTTCAAAAAAATATATACTTTTACTTTTTTACTTCAGTGACTTCCATCATTGCATAAGGATTGTTTAATCTCCTTGCAATACTACTGAAGTACTAAGAAATATGCTTTGCAATTTCCTAGCCATATGAGTTCATGCAAATGCCATGCTGTTTTCCAAGGACAAAGTATGGAATATATAACACTATGGAAACTCTTGTAGCTTTGAACACAGCAGAAGCCAACATAAAACACTTCCTGTCACCCCAAATGATTCGTTACTCAGTGAACCCCATCTTTATTTATACAGTATAATTTTAAGATTTCAGAGTTTTCATATAGTTGTTTTCATACATATGGCTATTGCTTCGTTAGCATGCGTCCCTCATCTGCAACTCTCTTCTGTTCTCTGTAATTTTTTGACCCAGTGCCTAACAACTAGCCTGTCCTCAGTTCCAATGTTATTTGTGGGTAAATCCAATTTGGTTTGCTGTCTTTCCCCAAAGAATGCCTCGAAAGGCGTTTGATTGCATTGGGTCTGTGTACTGCCGAACAAATAGCCACATGTGGACATGCGGGGACAGGGAGTGAATGTTAAACAGTGCTCCGCTCACCTATGTCCATCTTCTGTTTTGGAGGAACAGCAACGCAAATGGATCAAAACAGACATGATTGCACACATAGAGTAGCATTAAAGTGCATTTGACAGGGTTTCATGTTTTTCTATTACTATCTGCTTTGGTGGGATAGAAACACATTGGCTACAGTAAAAAAAATATTATAGTTTTACATTAGCCAGATTGTGAAGAAAAGTACAAAAATAGAGGAAGTAGTGGTGATCTCTAATACAGAATAGCCTTCCTCTTTCTATGGCTGTGTTCAAATGTCCACCCTGCCCCTAACCCCTCATTCACTACATATTTAGCGGTTTCTACTATATAGTCCACTCATTTCACGTAATCAGATTGGATTATTCAGCTTTTTGTTTGATATGTGGAAATTATCATTCATTTAACAGCTCAAGCTAAGATAAGTGGCTAAAGATAGCAACTTTACACCTGAACGGTTTCTTTAGTGGTGTTTTATTTATAATCAGGGTCAGTTCTATCTTCTTCATTTAGTCGTGTTGTGTCCAATTAAAGACCTGTTGCTGTCCAATGCTGTTTTTCCAACTCTTGTACTGCATTGTGGTTTTCATTGACTCGTCTAGTGAGCATCGCTTGACACCACTTTTCAAAATGCACTGTGGGAAATTTTGATTGCACAACTTTTTCACCAACTGGACATTCAGACACCCCTAAAAATAGCGTGATCCCTATTTAGTGGCCTAAACAGGTAATAGTGTGGACATCTGGACGCAGCCTAGCTCATCAACAAAATCCATTCAAAATACAGGGACAATTTACACTCATGGAACACATTTTTCTGACAGAATAAACATTGATTTCACCAAATAGACCAGTTTTCATGTATTTTTTATCAGAATAATCATAACTATTGTGCAATTGAGACAACTTTTGTCCCCAGTTAACATTATAGTTGCTAGGTAACAGTGGAATTACAACTGTGTATGTCATATCTGCTGCCTGTGTCCAAATACTGGGAAAAAATGGGCAGGAAATGTCATAAAATAATAAATCTAATTATAAACTTTTTAGAAAAATGAGTCATGTGCACTTTAACAATACTCAATTAATTTTAATGAGGAAATAGTTTAAAATTCAGAAAATCATCAGACAGGGCAAATGTATTGTCCAAATGCATTCTGATGAATTCACATGGGTCATTAATTGACTGATATGTGTTGTGTTGTTTATTAACAAAAATATTTCCTTAATCAACTTATTCCCATATGTATATTCATGTTACTCTGTTTTAAATGAATATATGCAGTTTTATGTTTTAAGTTAATTGCGTAATACCAAATAAAATTCAAGGTTCAAAGCAAAGGCACGCTAATTAAATGTGACAAGTAAAGTTTGCCAACAGAAATATCTCTATACACTGCATGTTTTTTAATCATGTGTTTATGAAGCTAATCCAGTTCATTTAATTACATTGAGCGACAATTTTAAATAAAGCTGAGTAAACAAATTAGATTTCACGGTTATGCAAAATCCAGAGTGGCCAAGTTTAAGGCTGGATTCAGATCACTAGTCGACCTAAGTCTTTCATACACTTCTAGATATTAGAGGTGAGTAGAGTAGTTGAAAACTGTACTAAAGTAAGCGTACGGTAGCATTATTTCCAAATGATGTCACTCAAGTAAAAGTACAACATAGAGATCCAAGAAATTATTCCAAGTAGGACCAAAAGTATTTGGGGAAACTAATACTCAAGTAGAGAAATTAATAACCGTAGTAGTAAGTAATGCTCAAAAGTGTGGTATTTAAGAATTTTTGAGTGAAGTACTATTTTATTAAATACTTGAAATGATCTTTAATTAAAATCTCTTGATGATAACAAAACAAAGGCTTATACCTGTGTACCAATGCAATGTGTAGTGTCAAACATTTTACGCACCAGTATACTTCCCTGTATACTGCAGTGGTCTACTCGCAGTACTGCAGAGTATGGAGTAGCTCACTGAGAGAAAGTGGATTCAACCAGTCGCCTACAAGTCTTATCCTGCCTTTTACTTGGGGTACTTTTGCCTCCACTTGTGCTATGGAGATAGAATAGAGCTGCCAGATTTCTGCTAGTTGCTAGGCTTCAATTTCCCATCCCGTCTGGTCTCGCAGCTCGCCATTGTGTGCGGGTGAAGAAGTATTGCAGTATATAGGCTGCAGCACTTTTGGGTTTCTTTGATAGCTGCGTCTAAGAAGTCAGTGAGGCTGCCTTATTGGACCAATCCATCCCTCTTTGAGTTCTTGTTCATATTACTTTTCTGCGATCTGGACTTTCTGCAACCTGTTATTGGCTGATTATAAGGTGCATGTCG